ATATCTGTCATCCGCGTCGAACACTTTTAGTAAATTTTGAAAAATGGTTTGATGCAAAGTGTCAAATGAATGTAACAGAAGTAGTTTATTCCAAATTGTATCACAAATATATAGAGATAGAGTTCAATGTTGTCAAATGTACCGATATTTTTGCGCACCTTGACTGCTTCGTTACTTATGACGCTGTGGCTGCTACGATATTTATGAGCATCTTGCATGTACTCATATATTTGACGCTGTGTATGTACCGATGTTTTTGAGCAGGGTGAATGTATCTATTATTTTGAGGACTTTTGTTGTACCGATATAATTGATTACTTTTGATGTACCTATATATTTGCATATCTTGTCTGTTACGATCTATATGACGCTGACTGTACATGAATACGAACATATTAGAAAACGTAATTTCAAAACACATTCAGAATTTTTAACGTGAGTTTCACTTTAAACATATGTTTTGGTACATATTTTTAACAAAAACGTAAAAATATTGTAGCAAAAATTGAAATTATAAATTAATTTTAGTAGATTTACTTTTAAATACGAAATTTAATTTCAAAAATATGGTTACAAAATTTCTACAACAACCTAATTTTACAATAAACAATATTTTTATCTTAACAAATTAATAAAAAGTTGATTTTTCTTAAATAATGATAAATATACATCGAAAGGGTAATTAAAACGCAATACACAATTTCCCTCGACGTCCAAATACTGTTCCCGCAAGGTTAATATTGGCTACACATTTTAATTAAGGAGTAGAAAGAGCAATTAAAGCGAATTACGTCTATACCATCGGTTGAGATTAATTGAAACTGACTGCGAATTCCGCGATATTTTTAAGCACTACAAAATATTTCACGGTAACTTTGCTTATATTCAAATTTGGAACGTATAAATTAAGAAAAAGAAAAAAACTACCATTATTTTTCTTGTCAATCACTCTCTTTAAGAAACAAAAGAAGTGTAAGAAGCAAGAAGAGAAGTATGAGACAAAATGCATTCGAGCGATTCCATAGCGAACTTCAAAAATGTATGGAACTGACGCGCCACAATCACGTGACTTATCAAAAGTTTTTATTAGCTCCATGCATTTTTGAAGCTCGTTCTGGAATTGATTCAGAGTGAATGCAGTTTGTCAAACCCCCTGGACTTTAAATATGAATATGGAGGGATATACCTGCAGAGGAGCCTGAGAAATGATAGATTTATTCCATGAAAATAACATGAAGAAAGTGACAACTGAAATAATCAATTTGTAGGATAAAACCCTTTTGTACTAACTGCACATTCTTCTTCGTATTCTTCATTACTGAAGGTCGTGCTTGTCTTGATATGCTTTTATGGCTGTGTCGACCAGCTGCCTCCACGCCGTCCTGTCTTCGGTTTGTCTCAGGGCAGTCGTGATATTAAGTCCCAATATAGCCTGCACTTGATCGGACCAGCGGGTAGGTGATCGACCCCGTGACTATCTATCTTTCCAACAACAACCGATTTGTCCAGTTTGTCGGGGTGTCTCCGACTAACTTCACATAAAGTAGGATAAAATAGACAAGTAATATGACGTGATGAAATACGAAACAAATATTGTAACGCATATTAAACTTAATTCTTCTTTTTTTTAAATTAATTTTTTAAATCTTTTTTTTTTTTCTAGGAAATGGCATTGTCGCCGAAAACTGATGTTCGAAAGATGTGGCAAAAGATACCGTTTCCTTTGGATTTTAAGATATACCTTTTTAATTATACAAATGCCGAGGAAGTGCAAAAAGGGGCGATTCCAATCGTAAAGGAAATTGGACCGTATTATTTTGAGTAACAAATTTTTATTATTTGTCATCTTTAATATTATCTTTAAGTTGCTGTCCCCCGCGACTCCGTATGTGCGAAATGAAAAACAAACACAATTAGCCTATGTGTTCGTCGTGATTATTTTCTATATGTATGCCAAATTTCATCAAGATCTGTTCAGCAGTTCTAGAGATACCTTCAAACAAACATCCATCAATCTAAACATTCGCATTTATAAGTAAGATTTAACGTTGTAGTTCACAGCTTGTATTATCGATTTTTATACATTGTCTACTAATATTTTCAAATTATACGTATGTTTTTATGTTTGCTTTTTTATATTCCAATTACACGATACAACGTGTTCTTTGTAAATAATAACAAGTTGTATGGATGTTAATAAAAACCTTCGTACAATCCAGTCATTATTTATCCAAGACATTCATTAAAGTCCTGTCTATCATTTTTAAATTACGCTTCTCGAACAAACTTTTTTTTTCAGTTTTCAATTCTTTTGTTTATGTCAGTTTTTAATTTAAACTTCTTTGGAATTTTTGAAGAATTAAAAAAAAATTGATAGTTAAAATATCACCCGAATTCTTCTATATTTTCTTTAAAATATTATCTTTGACACGAAATTGATTGGAGTATTATCAAATAAGTAGCTATCGTCCGCGACTCAGTCCGCGCGGAATTAAAACATACATAATTAGTAGTCTATGTGTTCTTCCAGGCTATGTTCTATATATATGCCAAATTTCAACGACATCCATGCAGACATTCCGAAGATACCTTCAAACATACATCCATCTAAACATTCGCATTTATAATATTAGTAATAAATAGTAGACGAGAATGCGTCAAAAGACAAAAAAAAATGTTAAACCTTTTTAACGAGATATGTCGGTCATATGAATTTATGGTATGAGCTCTTTTGTAGATTATTTAAGGATTTTATTTAGCTGTATCACAATAACTAGAACAATATGTCAGGCTATAAATAATTTACGCGAGACGTTAACAACAGAGGTTAAAATGCATTTATTATTCACCGCAATCGATAGAAAAATTGCTGTTACTATATTTTTCAAATGCCAAACCTTGATTCTTGTGAACTATAAAGTATTGCGTAGAAATCATACCGTTGTAGTTAAAGACCTTACGACAGTTTATGAAATGGAATAAATTAGTTTTTAAAAAAGTCATGGAATTATTAACAAGAAGTATAAATAGGAGATTACCATGAATTGAATTATGCTTTTTGAGTAATGAGGGATTAGAAAATGCATTCGCTCCGTTTTGATTCGTTAACGAACTTAAAAAATATATGGATCTGACAATAAGTTTCGATGAGTCACGTGATTGTCGACTTTCAATTCCATACACCACTGACTGGAATTATGATTTTGTATCTATTAAGATTAGTCTGAAGGTAATGTGAAAGATTATTCTTAAAATATCTTAGAAAGGTCGCGTAATTGTAAAACCTATTGTACAGAGAATGGAAGGAGAAAGTAGAGGTAGAAGATCACGATGACTCTGACACAATAACTTATAAGAGACTGGACAGTTTTTACTTCAAGAAAGAACTATCTGGACCAGGTCTGACGGGAGAAGAGCTCGTTGTTTTGCCACATCCGTTTATGATGGTAATGTGCTCTTACTATTATCATGAAGAATTGACGCTTCCAGATCGTTAAGAGTTAAGAACTGGCAACAGCAGTTGATAGAGGAGAGGCATGTTTCAAAGCCAGATTATTTGTCTGATAAACTTTCAAATTTTTTGGTTAATTTATTTAATCAATATATTCAATTATGGTCAATTTTTTATGATCCGACTAGCGGTCGAATTAAAAACAAACACAATTAGCAGTCTATGTGTTCTTCCAGACTATGTTCTATATGTATGGCAAATTTCATCGAAATCCCTCAGCAGTTTCGAATATATCTTCACACAACCATCCATCCATCCATCGAAAAATTCGCATTTACAATATTAGTAAGATTTATATTGAACCTAAAGAAAACTTTTTATAATATAACAAACGGTTATAATTTCTTTTCAATTTCTAATTTATTATTATCTGTCTCAGGCCACGATAGGAGTAGTAATCCGCGATAAGCCAGCGATGCTCAACATGATCGGAAAAGCTTTTAATGGCATTTTCGAAAATCCACCCGACATTTTTATTCGGGCCAAAGCTTTGGATTTATTGTTTAGAGGCATCGTCATTAACTGCGCAAGAACGGAGTTTGCGCCTAAAGCTCTTTGCACCGCACTAAAGAAAGAAGCAGCTAATACCCTAATTTTTGGACCGAATAATCAATATGTTTTCTCTTTATTCGGCATGGTAAGTTCTCAGCTAAATTATCTGCCACAAGGACACAAACCAGCATTCGGCTAATAAAATGAGCCCCAAATAGGCTACCCCGTTCTTCAAAATTTTGACTTTCTGATTCAAGTCCCTTTAATATTGGAACAAATGTAAGTTCTTCGTCTACCAATGTATATGAAAAAGTACTTAAAGGAGGGAGGAACAACTTTAGATGTCTGGGCGTTAACTTTAATCTGCTACCAGATATGTACCAATCAATTACTTTCAAGATATAATTGTTTCATGTTCTAGCGCAATGGCACTACTGATAGTCATGTTGTGACAGTCATGAGAGGTATGAACAACGTAATGGATGTCGGCAAAGTAATAGCAATCGATGGCAAACCCAAGATGGAAATGTTCAGAGATCAATGTAACGAGTACGAGGGTACAGATGGTACTGTGTTCCCTCCATTTTTGACACAGAGCGATCGTCTTGAATCGTTTTCTGGGGATTTATGCAGGTATATTATGTGATTTTTTTTTTATTTTCATTAAGATTTAAAATATCCTCTTAGAAGGTTATTGTTGAAGGAGGACTTTCTTGAATTAACTATACTTAAGTTTCCAAAATTTGTTAACAAGTACGTAGGTTAGGAGGAATATCCGTCACTGTGCCGGTCTATCGGCGTATTTATTGTCAACGTTTGTGTCCCCTTACTAAGCAATCTCACACTTGACTTAGTAACGCGCGCCATTCGCGCCAAATTATTCTGACTAATAATGTCAAGAAGTAATAACATCAAAAATAACTTTAACAAGTATGTTCCGTGCATGTTATTACTTACTACTAATCGTTGTCTAACAGATCTTTTAAACCATGGTTCCAAAAGCCGTCTTCGTACAGTGGAATCAAAACCAACCGGTACATCGCTAACATCGGAGATTATGCGAACGACCCTGAGCTTCAATGCTATTGTGACAGCCCGGACACTTGCCCGGCCAAAGGACTGATGGATCTAATGAAATGTATGGGAGCTCCAATGTACGTCTCATTACCACATTTCTTAGACTGTGATCCTAAGATTAGAGAAGCTGTGAAGGGACTGAATCCTGATGTTAATGAACACGAGATATCAATTGATTTTGAACCGGTGCGTATAAAACATGGATTACAAGTCGCCCATAACTCCGGCCGCGCGGAATTAAAAAAAAACCGTTGACTATGTGTCCTTCCAGACTATGATCTATATGAGCGCCAAATTTCATGGACATCCGTCCATCCGTTTTGGAGATACCTTCAAATAAACATCCATCCATCCATCCAAACATTCGCATTTAAAATATTAGTAAGATTTAAACTTTTGTGAGACATTATTTTCACTTTAGTTAGTAGTTAATTAGAATAAGTAAGTCAGATTCGCAACCTTGGAAAAGTTTATGGAACAATGTGGAACGTTCATTCTGGATCTTTATCGTATTTCTGATTTCAGATCACAGGCACACCATTAGTTGCTAGACAACGAGTCCAATTTAATATAAAATTGGTGAAAACAGAAAAAATGGAGCTGTGCAAAGATTTACCTGACACTATTGTACCTTTGTTCTGGATCGAGGAGGTAATTACTAACTTTAGATCCTAACGAAATTATCTTCTTTAAAAGCAAAAATTTTAATACAAAGAAAAAATTAAGAAATGTTTTAGCAAAAAGTGGCAACTACTATTTAAAAGTTAATAAAATGTATATGAAATTGTGTGTGAACAAAAAACTCCGTCCGCGCGAAATTAAAAAAACTTAATTAGTGGCCTGTGTGTTCTTCCAGACTATCATACTAATAACATAAATGAAAATGTTAAGATGGCTGGATGTTTGTTTGATGATATCTCCAGAACGACTGAACAGATCTCGATGAAATTTGGCATACATATAGAACATAGTCTGAAAGAACACATAGGCTACTAATTATTTTGTTATTTAATTCCTGGCGGACGGAGTCGTGGGCGACTGGTAGTGGTCTACAAGTATGCCATATTGCAGCAAGATCCATGCAGCCGTACTGGAGATAGTTTCAAACAAACATCTAAAGATTCGCATTTATAATATTAACTAGCTGTCGCCCGCGACTAAAAAAAGATTTAAGATGTTGGCCGATTCTCAGACCTACTCAATATCCTCACAAAATTTCATGAGAATCGGTCAAGCCGTTTCGGAGGTGTATGGGAATGAAAATTGTGACACGAGAATTTTATTTATAAGATAAGTAGAAAGATAAAAACAAAGTAGTGGTCTCATATAATTCTTACAGGGTCTAGCGCTTAATAAAACATTCACAAATATGTTAAAACATCAATTGTTTATACCAAAACGCGTTGTGGGTGTGCTACGATGGTTGTTGGTGTCATCTGGATTACTCACAGCAATGGCATGTCTGCTTTTTCATTATAAAGGTAATAATATATACTTACGTAGTTCATTAACTAATTCTAGTAGCATTAGTAACTTTCAATTTCTAATATACGTTTATATATAACCATAAGTTAATAAAACTTTAGTCAGTTTTAGCTTAAAAAAAGCTTTTAGAAAAAAATCCACAAAATATTTCCAAATGTGTATTGTGATCAGTTTATGTAATATGTAGCACCCCCTCAATTTCATTTATGAAAACTAAACTTAATTAGTAGCCTATATGTTCTACTTATGTTCTATATCTGATTGACAATAATTTTATTTCAAATTCAATGTTACTTCGAATCTGATAAAAATAACAAATCAACATTTTTTAAATTCAGGAAATTATCAGACAATCGTATTATGTCTATTCATCATTTCTTTCTTTACTTCGACAAACATTTTAGAAATATATTTCGTAATTTTTATTCATCTTGAACATAATTTATCTGATGATAGAAAATTAAAAGCGAATAAATTAGTTAAACATTTTTGTGCCGAATAATATTTCTTCCATTCATAATATAATTAAGAACAAAATTACCATAAAATTACAAAATTAATGCGAAACAACCCTTAGGGTGATGACACAAAGGCGACGAGCGCGGGGGACGTAGACAAAATACGCTTACACTATTTCGTACGCATCTCTGTATTGTGCTATACGTTTGATAAAATCGCTCCGCCTGTAACGCCGCGCCGCTTGTCACGAACGCCGCGGCCTTATACTAGTTACTTGCTAACTAAATATTAGGCTTCACTGAATATGTGTAATATTTCAAGCATATTAATATAGAACAAATATTCAATCTTTATCAAAGCAATAATTTAATGTTCAAACTAATGTATATCAACCGGAGTAACAAGAAAAGAAACTTGCGAATAACCGAAAAAAACCTCATCGATTTTGGACTTATTTGAATCGACTTTTACTTAACAGAAACATAAAAAAAATTGTTTTTTTTTTTTTAATATTTATATAACATCATATGATGTAACTCTAAAAACCTCTTTAAATGCCAATCATGAAGGTATTGTACCCTGAATTTGGCATATCGGGGATAACAGTACACTTGTGTTCTGTGTGCCAACTCAAGCGAGTATAATATAGGTACAATTTCTTTTGACAGATAAAATCATGCATTTCGCGGTATCGAATGGTTCCGACTCAGCGGCTAAAATAAGACCAGAGGAAACAGAACAAAGAGAAATAAGCGTCATCGGAGAAGCTCGGGAACCTCCCAAAGTAGAAATGTAATATTTAATACGCTAGAAGGCCCGACATACTTTTACAAAAGACAGAACATTTACGAAGAGCTTTTGACAGTACAATACTGCTTACTGTGTTAATCTGTCTGTTGCGCTACCTTCGTGTGAAAGTAACACTTAAGCCGGTCGGTAAAGTGTGTGCGTGGCCTAATTTTTTCATTATTTTTCTTAGAAACTTAGTTTCCACAATATAATTCAATATTTGAAGGTTTGTTCGATTGAAGGCTTATAGCTGTTGTCAAATATCTTGCCTGCTCCGAACATCGGTCATCCACGAATCGCAGCGTAAAACACAATGGAACTACGGAGCGCTCAGATGAACTTGTGCTACCAAGATATTTGATACGATTTATACTGAAAATGTAGTCACTTTTTTTCTTAGTGTCGTAATTTTTATAGTCTATAACAAAAATCAATGATTAATATTTATACAATCACTAAATACCTTCACATTATATAAGTTTAGTATTTTTAATATTCACAATATATAAGCAAAGGCAATAAGTTTACTAAATTACATATAATTCGATGGTAATATCAGTAATTAGTTTTATAGTATATAACCTTACACGAACACTGTTAAATAAATGTTTAAAGTTATATAAAAATGTGTTTTATTGGTAAATTTAATTAATGTAATTCTCAAAGAACTAAATATTAGGCTTCACTGAATATGTGAATGTGTTGTACTAAGTTGATATGTTAATTACTAGCTGTCGACCACGGCACGGTCAGCGCCGAATCAAAAAAAATATTTGTAGCCTATATGTTCTTATAGGGTTACCTTTTGACAAACATCCATATATCCATTAGTAAAATCTAATCAATTGACATTAAATGTAAAAAAAAATCCTTAATAAACTCAGTAAAATACCAAGGTTAAGACGAAAAGAAAATGTAAAAATTGCTAATTTCCTTAAGCAAATTCGTGAGTGTAGTACAAATTCACCGACTATTACCTCAAGGGAATGCTCACGGGAAAATAACTCGTGCATTTTTTTTGGACGTCGTTCATAAACGTCGTTGTTTGTGTTAACATAAATTAACTATCCCGAAAGCAACAGACGTACATATTTACATAAATATTTACTTAACACAGTACATACAAAAAAAAATAAGTTAAACAATGTTACAATGAAACGTAATGAGATTGAATGTACTGCTACAAAGGTAGAGGAAGAACAAATTAAGTATGAAATGACTGTGTGAAAGAGGATATGCGTAGGATCATATCCAATTCTACCCCCTGGTAGAATTGGATATGATGTATGGAGGAGTAGTACATACTGTGCCGACCCTCAATAGGGATAAGCGCAGGTTGATGATGATACGTCAAATGACTTTTGAGAACTCAATTACCCTGAGTTTCCGAGGCCAAAACATCTGTTTAAAACATATTGTCATCTCTGTTTTGTAACAGATAATGATAGGGACGATATGTTTTCTACAGAGATTTTGGTCTAGGAAACCAACGGTTAGAGAATTAATTGATAGCTCTTTAAGACTTATTTAACTTCTTATCTCTACTACTATTTTACTTCTTACGGTGAAGGAAAAGATCGTGATGCAACCTGTAAGATATCAGCGAAGAAATTGAAAGCACTGAGCCACTATGACCTAGACACTCCTAACTTAGGGTAGGCTCCGAGTCCATAACTGCGAACGTATAGTGAGCTGATGATGATAAAGTCTATTTTAAACCGCTTGACTTACATATAAATCGTTTTGAATATTTTAGGATATGTCAAAGTTGCAATTTAAACTTCTCGCTAAGTTTTCATTATTACATGTCTCAGCCATGGAAGTTGTTAACAAGTTCCTTGTGACAAAGCACTTTATAATAGTTTATCAAACAAAATATAATTCAGTTGAAATGTTAAATTTTAGAGGACATTTTTGTTGTAAAAGACAAAAGGTACTTAATGAAGTGAACACAGAAAACTTTGGAATCACAACAATTACAAGTTGCAACACAAAAGTATGAAATGGATTGACATATAATAAGCAAAAACAATAAAAAATAAATCATACCGGTTTGTTCCGGAATACTTGTAAAAAACATTATTTTCTCTCCCTTTCTCTCTTCTCAAAAACAAATGAGATAGACGTTTTCTTACATCTCTTTCATAAATAAAGACATGGTTTCATCCAACAAAGAGTAAATAATTAGCGGTGTTTGTATTTGGTGAATTTTGATAAATTACTCTGTTGTAATTAATTTCTATTTCCCGCGCTTTCATTGCCTTCCTTGTTCCTTAGTTGTCACTGTCAGATTTCTAACCTTGACCTAGTTATTGTTTATGGTTGTTGATCAGTAATTATTGAAATTTAAAAACAAACTCTTTAAAAAGTTTTAATAATCTACGTAAGGTCATAGTGCAAGCAATATTTGCATCATATAACTTATTATATTACTGTTGCAGTATTACGCGCTCTAATTATTTTAAAATGCGTTCAAAGAGAAAGTTTTAGGAATTTCAATTAGTTTCCTTAGTTTTAATAAAAAAAAATATGAGCACAATATTCAAACGAAGCATTCAAATTATTATATAATTTCCTTAATTAAATATACGAAATGCAAAATAAAAAAGTGATATTTCAATGCAATGAATTGAATATTTCTTTCTTACAACTTTTCGGCTGGTAGGGAAATACTAAATTTTCTAACAAGGTCTGTAAGTTTCCGTAAAAGGGTCGAAAAGGAAATCTTCTATTAGTACGCCATATGTTATAATTCCCAGAATATCCTGACAATACTACAAATTCTTACTTACATTCTGTTACTAGGTACCATATTAAAACAAAATATACTTCTGTAATTTAAATACTAAAAATATGATGTTCACTTATGTTTATTTTACTTAAAACTTCAAAGTCTTAAATAAATCCGTTTGTTCCGTGTACAACAACTATGTATTATAAATACTAAATAAATACACGACAGTCTTTAAAAATAATATATCCTTGTACCTACATTTTCGTAAGAGCAAATTTGCATGTTTGCCTTTTTGCTTATAAATTATATCAGGTCTTATGTTTGCATATCTGTATAGATTTTAACTTAAGTATAACTTACCTAAATAAAAAATAAGTTAAGTATTATGTATTATTCAAATAATTTATGAGGGAAAGTCGGTTAAAATATTATAATACTTAAAATTAAAAACACAATATAAAAATATTACAAAAATTTTATTACACTTAATAAGTACACAAATATTTACAAACTTTATACAAAAAAATCGAACTTAATTTTTGTCAATATAACTTAAGTTTCATTCCAAACTTATTATTGGTAACCAACAATCTCGCATGGTAACTTTTTCGGTAACTATTTTATATAAATAATACTTTTAAACGGATTTATCAAACAAATTAATTATATATCTTATACTTAAATAAAAGATAAGTACATAATTAAAAAGGGTAATAGCAAAATATTTAATAACTTTACTCCTAAATACTGTTGACTAAAAATAATTACCAGCAATAAAGGACGGAAAATAGTCTTTATTTATGAATTTGACCTTTTTAGATAACACTGATTTTCTCTTAATTTTTTTTTAATTAAATAACGTTCATACATTTTTACATTATCTTTATTTTATAAGTTTAAGAGTAAAAGTAGTTTTTTTTAATTTATGCCATATTATAGTAAATTTAATAATTAAATTAATTTGAGCCTTAGTTAATCTAATCTGAATTAAAAAAAATCCTCTCTTATAAATTCTTCTTCACTATCGTCTTACTGTCAATTAGTTTCTTAGAACTTTTTAATAAATTACTCGAATTATCAAGTAATTTGTCCATACGTCTACTTTGTAAGTAATCGATAAGCCAATGAAAACTGCGCCTTATAACAAAGGCGATAAGAACTGAAATAGTAATTAAAATAACAATGAAAGCCAACGCAACATCTAAAAGATAGTACTGGAAGAAGTTAAGGTCTTTAGCCGGTGACAATAAATGATAGGCGCCTTTGTGCCTAATTACATATTCCGTCCAATAGATGGCTCTTTCCAAAGGTGTCTCTTTCTGATCTCTTAGAAGTATTTGTCGCTTTTTAACTTCAATTCTATATTTAGGTTCGTCAATAACTTCTTTAATAGCTCTGTACAGTTTATCTGAGGTTAAATATTGAAGGTCTAATATTTTAGCGTAGCCGTCGACCTCTGCTTTGGCAGCGTTGGCCTCGTGGTCACAGAAAACAGGAATTGATACGATTGGCACACCGTGATACACCGTCTCAAACATGCTGAGTAGTCCACCATGAGTTACGAATGCCTTGATCCTTGGGTGACCTGGAAAATAAAGATTAATTTAATTCTGTATTTTGTACCGACTACTGATATCACTGGAAAATATAACAAGTCGAATAGAGAGTATTAGGCATAAATGGAGCGATGTATTTTCTCTCTCTCAGTCTTTCTCTCTCTCTCTCTCAGTCTTTCTCTCTCTCTCTCTCTCTCTCTCTCAGTCTTTCTCTCTCTCTCTCTCTCAGTCTCTCATAATAGACTTCAGGCGTCGACGAAAATAAAGAATTAAGAAAGATAAAGAATATTTTTCTTCCATGTAATGAAGAGATTTTAGATTAATCATTTAATTTAGCTAATATTTTTTTATTCTTTTTTAGATTACGCCCAGACGGGCGCGGGCTACTGCTGGTCATCTATAATTTAATCTTTTGATACATCACATTACGTCACTGACGAACAGGTCAGTAGCGAAATCGAATACTTTGCACCACTATGACATAACACAACCGCTAAACATATTACAACGGGTTTTTAACACCATATCCGAGAGATATTTCCTCGATTAGATAACATTTGTGTCAATAAACTAGTAAAAGTACGTTTCCACTGCGAAAAACTAGTACAAAAACTTTATTTTCTACGTTTTTCAAAATCAGTATTTGTACCGTGGAAGCCAATTAGTTGACAATAAGAAAAGCTTTTTGGTATCGCAAAACTGTTTTGTCCTCTGATGATAGGTACAAGCTTTCGCCCACGACTCCGTCCGCGCGGGATTTAAAATAAAACTTAATTCGTAGTCTGTGTGTTCTTCCAGACTA